TTCCCAACTTATAAATCAGTTTCTCGAGGACTCCGCATACAACCGCGAACGCATTAATTTGACAGCCACCGGTCAGCGCATACCCGTCCGTGGAGAGAAGGAGATGGAGTTGAAGCTAGGCAACATGATCTACCTGCATAATGTCATCGTGGCTGATATAATGGACGACTGCATCCTGGGCCTAGACTTTATGAGGAAGAATTGTTGTGAGATCGACGTTAAGCAAGGTGTTTTGAAATGTGGACAAGAGGAACTTTTCGTGGAAGGGTCGTTACCAGGGAATGTGTACAGCCTTAAGAAGATTGTTCTTCCGCTGAGATCGGAAACGATTGTGCCAGTTAGTCTTCCTCGGAGTCCTGGGCAAGCTCATCGTTGTGTACTCGTGGAAAGGGTAGACAATGACCTTCCATGGAAAGTGGCTCTAACCTTGGTCAGAACCACCGACATCTCAGGAGTACGTGTGTTGAACCTTTGTGATCAGGAACAGATTATAGAAAAAGGCACATTGGTTGGTACTAGTGAGGAAGTGGATTGGTTGCGTCAGTGCCAATATCTATCGACTGGGACCCCCAGCAAGAATGGACAAACTAGAGTAACCACACTTTTAGAAGGCTGTCGCAGCGTTCTCTCCCCGAATGAAACGTCAAAGCGAAGAAGTTGTTACTCAAGTACGCCAATGTTTTCTCGTCAAACGAAGCTGACATAGGAAAGACTGGCTTAGTTCAACACAAAATAAACACAGGACAAGAATTGCCTATTCGTCAGCGGCCAAGAAGATTGCCTGTAGCACGTGAAAAGGAAGTAGAAACCATGATTGAGGGAATGGTGAAGGATGGTGTTATTGAACCTTCATCTAGTCCATGGTGTTCACCTGTGGTGCTGGTAAAGAAGAAGGACGGCAGCATGCGGTTTTGTGTTGACTACCGCTGCCTGAACGACGTTACGAAGAAGGACAGCTATCCCTTGCCAAGAATTGATGACACGCTGGACATGCTTACAGGCATAAAGTGGTTTAGTACGCTGGATCTGAAAAGTGGCTACTGGCAGGTTGAAATTGACCCTAAGGACAAGGAGAAAACTGCATTCTCCACAGGAAAGGGTCTGTGGCAATTTAAAGTCATGCCGTTTGGATTGTGCAATGCTCCAGCAACGTTTGAAAGGTTGATGGAGCTTGTACTTACCGGGCTAATTGGAGATGCCTGTCTGGTCTATTTGGATGACATCATCATTGTAGGCCGTACGTTTGAGGAACACCTTCAAAACCTGGAACGCGTGCTCATGAAGATCCAGAGTGCCAACCTCAAGTTGAGTCCAAAGAAGTGCTCAGTATTCAAACGGCAAGTTAGTTTTTTGGGGTATGTAGTGTCGAAAGAAGGTATCCGCACGGATCCAGAGAAAATTGCTGCTGTCAAGGAGTGGCCGGTCCCAAAAGACAAGACACAGGTTAGAGCATTTTTGGGTTTGTGCTCTTATTATCGGCGATTTGTGAAGAACTTTGCAGATATCGCCAAACCTCTGCACAAGCTAACCGAGGAGAAGCGACAATTCTGCTGGGATAAAGGTTGCGATATTGCATTCCAGGAGCTCAAGAACCGTCTGTGCAAAACACCTATTTTGGGGTACCCTGATGCGGGCAAGGAATTCATAGTTGACACAGACGCAAGTGATATAGGACTTGGCGGTGTGTTGTCTCAACGGAATGGTGATCAAGAGATTGTGATAGCGTACTTCAGCAAGTCGTTGTCAAAGCCGGATAGGAACTATTGTGTCACAAGACGGGAATTGTTTGCTGTGGTAAAGTCCTTGCAGCATTTTAGCAAATATCTTCTAGGGCGGAAATTCCACTTACGAACTGACCATGCTGCACTGAAATGGCTATTGCAGTTCAAAAATCCGGAAGGACAAGTTGCGAGATGGATTGAACTACTGCAGGAATACGACTTTGTGATCGAACATCGCAGCGGGAAATCTCATGGCAATGCAGATGCATTGTCAAGAAGACCTTGCCCTGAAGATTGCAAGCATTGTACTAGGCAAGAGGGTAAGGAAGTGGTATCTGTGAGAATGCTCAGGACAGACCAGCTCAGCAATGAGTGGAAGGACAGCCTACAACATGCACAGCAGGAAGATTCGGACATTAAGCCGATTCTGGAATGGATGAAGGCCAGTGCTCCTAAGCCCAAGTGGAGCGGCGTCTCAGCAATGAGATCGACCACGAAAATCTATTGGGCCCAATGGGACAACTTGCTGATTCAGGATGGAGTCCTGTGCCGTAAATGGGAAAATGGTCGGGGAGACAGGTGTCATTTGCAAATGGTTGTCCCTAAGGCTAAAGTGCCGGATATTCTACAGCTGTACCATAGTGGTTGTTCAGGAGGCCACATGGGAGTTAAACGAACTCTCCTGAAGATCCGAGAACGGTTTTACTGGGTCCACTGTCGTGACGATGTCGAGGACTGGTGCCGCAAATGTACAAGTTGTGCGGCTGTAAAGGGACCTCAAATTCGTAGTAGAGGCGCATTGAAATTGTACAATGTTAGTGCACCATGGGAGAGGATAGCCATTGACGTTGCGGGGCCGTTTCCAGAAACTGAAAGTGGTAACAAGTATTTCATGGTTGTGATGGATTACTTCACTAAGTGGCCAGAAGTCTTCGCCATTCCAAATCAAGAAGCTTCAACCGTTGCAGATAAACTAGTTCATGAAGTCTTCTGTCGTTTTGGAGTACCTTTAGAGATTCACAGCGATCAAGGAAGGAATTTTGAGTCTCAAATATTCCAGGAAACTTGTCGAGTTATGGGTATTCAGAAAACACGAACAACTTCTTACCACCCACAATCTGATGGAATGGTAGAAAGATTTAATCAGACATTGGAGAGGTACCTAGCAAAAGTTGTGGAAAAACGGCAACGAGACTGGGACAGGCACATACAACCGTTTTTGTTGTCATATCGAAGCGCTGTTCACGAAAGTACATCAGTGACACCAGCTTTCGTAAACTTTGGGAGAGAATTGCGGCTGCCTGCAGACCTGATCACCGGAATACCACCTGATGCTCCACGCAGTATAACCGATTATGCAAATGACTTGCGGAACAAAATGAATGACATTTATGAGCACGTTAGACAGACGGGCCAGCAAACGTCTGAGAAGATGAAAACACGGTATAACCGCAAAATGAACAACAAGGGGTTTGATGAAGGTTCAATGACGTAACCTACCGGATACAGAAAAATAGCAGCTTAATGCTGTGCTTCATACGGTGAACCGGAGACCCTTTTTACTGGAAACGAGTCATTTCATATTAATCCTTAAGGGTGACAACGCATCTGCATTTTGATTAATAATCGGGGATAATTGTCTATGGGCCAAAGTATCTACTTACCATCAGGTAGACTATGTGCCCGTTTGTAACCCATATTCTATAAAAAAAATATGTCCGTCGGGTAAGGGCAAATTAAAATAATAAAGATATTGTTAGAAAATATAATATCTTTCATTAAGGGTATTCAATATATGGGTGTTTCTGTCAAGTAAATATTTATAAGCATGTTACATGTAAATGTCATATTAGTCAATTAAATATTGGACTATTACCATTTTTACAAAATTTATTGAGAATTTAATCATATATTGTTGTACCCAATGTGCATTAATAGTGTACATAGTTTTGTTTTGTGTATAATGTGATATTGTAATGTTGCTGTACTCAACAGAGGCCCATGTTCGACAGTGGACTTTTACGGGCCGATAAAGATGAAATCCGTGTGCAAGAGAGAAAAAATATTAAGTTTAAATAAAATATAAAAGCCGTGACGTCTGTACATAGTTGTGCACTCAAGGTGACTGCCATAGATAAGCTAATATAGTACGAACACTCAAACACTCACGCCTGTTACCCAGAGGGGTAGGCAGAGACTACGGACTTCCATTTGGCGCGATCCTGACACATCTCTCTCGCCTCCTATGCATCCATATATATATACGTATATACGCTCGTTGGTTAAGGGTACTCCTAATCTAGCCCATTTTCAATGTATCGCCGATTTAGTCGATAAACCTTCGTCTAGAGCGTCCTTTCCCGACCCTGCCGTTCACTTCAGTGAACGGCAAGCTAATATAGGTGCCTGCCAAATCCGGTAGACTGAAGAAGTCTGAACAGAAGACTTAGCTCGATGCAAGAATTCCGCTGTCCGGAATGGACAGAATTCGACCGATGTGTTAGCACTATAAAAATTCTTTCATGTTTTATTTGTGTTCACTAAATCTACCATGAGTGCAGCATAACTTAATTAAAAACTTCTTTTTTTAATTAAGTTATGCTATCCAATGCTACCATATTTTACTAGATTATATGGTAGCCTTGGATCTTATGATTATTTGTCCAAGATTGTTACGGTCCATAAAATTTTTAAGATTGTTAACACTGTATCACGTGACCAACTACAAAATCATTTTATTTATTTTAAACGTCTAAAATTATTTTCAGCATTGTTAGTTTGCGGGTTTTTTTCCCGATTTCGGGAAATATGGACCATTTTCGATATCTTCTTATTAGTTTGTAGTCGATATCGAATCCTTAATGACTTAAATACAGTATGAAATACTAGAAAGGTCTCATAACCTTCAACATAAAACAGATGTAGTGCAGGCTGACCGACATCAAAGCCAAAATGCGTTATATTTGTTATTGGAACCACCATTCTAAGATTTTTTTTGGAATTTGTGTTAATGGTTAGTTTTCGATTATATTATATTAATTAATAATAAAACATTATGTTTTTAAATTACTTATTTATTATTTTAATTTAGGGGAAAATTTAATATTGAGCAAATAAATCCTTTACCCAAAATCACGAATTTCTAAGGCAGCTTTCGGGTATTTTCGTCTCTCGTAAGCGGCAACATTTCCTTTTTGACTTCCATCCACGCCCGGTGGCGGCTTGTGCCCCCCGTAGAAATAGTAATTCGCTTATAATTTTCATGTTAAATACTCTAAAATGGATACAAGAAAACTAACGGAAATATTGCGTGCCACCATCGACCCTAACCAGAGGCAGCAAGCCGAGGAACAATTATCGCAGGTGACTAATTTATCATCCACATGCTCTGGAAATTATAACGCTACCAAATTGAATACAAAGTTTAATAGTAAGAGACCTTTTCGTATTAACTACTCCCGCTTTTATTCGTATAATAACATGCCGCGGTGGTGTGAATGCTTTTGGACATGTTTTAATATTACACCACATTAATTTACTATTTATTAGAAAAATATCCGAGGGAAAGCGTATGTAATGTTTTAATCAGCATAATTAATAGGTTATCAATGTTTGTCGACCTACAAGAATAATAAAGAAACTTTCTAACCAAACTTTTTAATGTATGTATATGATACATTTATACACTACATTAAATAGATACAGTAGTATTGAATAGAATCTATGAGTCTAATTATGATCGGTTTAGACACTTCTTATTTTTTTCTCATAAGATTGATTTTTAATTTCCGATTTTTCACCCTCATTTAGTTTCACCTCTAAAATAATACCAATTTGACTATACATATTTAAAACCGTGTATTTAATATTTTACAGATACATAAAATTATTGGCTTTGCACCATCATTGCTACAAGTTGTTATGCTTAATGATGTACAAATACCAGTTCGTCAAGCAGGTGTGGTATATCTAAAAAACTTAGTTACATCAGGATGGCAGGAAAAGGAAGCAGAAGAAGGTGAACCAATACCATTTAGCATCCATGAACAAGATAGAGCAATGATTCGAGATATGATAGTTGATGCAATAGTTCAAGCTCCTGATATAATTAGAGTGCAGCTGTGTGTTTGTCTTAAAACTATTATCAAGCATGATTTTCCATCACGGTGGACCCAAATTGTAGATAAAATACATATTTACTTACAAAATCCAGAACCCAGTAGCTGGATGGGGGCTCTCTTATGTCTATACCAACTTATTAAGAGCTTTGAATATCAAATAGCAGAAAAGAGGGTGCCACTAATGGAAGCTATGAATTTATTGTTGCCAATGATGTATAATTTAATTGTGAATCTCCAAGCAGACCAGTCTATGGAATCTGTTCTTATACAAAAACAGATTCTTAAATGTTTTTATGGCTTAATAAAGGTAAATTAAAACTGGGAATGTTTTAAATAATATTGTAATTGTATACATAATTAATACTTACTTATGGTTTTTTAGTACATTCTACCTTTAGATTTGATAACTAAAGAAGTCTTTACAAAATGGATGGAGGTTTTGAGATCTGTAATGGAGCAACCAGTCCCAGAACACACTCTGCAAGTAGATGAAGATGAACGTATGGAATTGCCCTGGTGGAAATGTAAAAAGTGGGCAGTTCATACCTTGTATAGAATTTTTGAGAGGTAAATAATTGTCTATGTTTTGATTATTCTTCATCCTTGACTGTCAGTCATCTGCTGTATACTGGCCTTGTAAGAGAGTTAACTAACCCATATCATGCTATGGCCGTCATAAGAGGCAACAGAAAAAAAATGAAACGGAAGATTGGCAGCAGCATCTTTGATAATAGCTAAAAATAGTAACAGGCCTGTTAAGCATGGCAATTATACCAAATATAAAATTCCAGAACTGAGTTCTAATATAGGAGACCTAATACTGGAATTCCATAACTAGCAACTATATTACTGTTTTTTTAAAGGCTTGTGTTACTAATTGATTGATTCAATCCCTTGTTGATTCTGACTGAATATTTAACTAAAGTTTAATTTTAATGTTATTATTTAATTCTGTTACATACAAAAATATGTATGGTTATGGAATAAGTATGAATTGCAAAGTTTCAGAATATCCAACTCTAGAATTTTGGAACTAAAATTTTCAATATTATAATTCCAGAATAGAGAAGAGAAATTTATTTTCATTTTCATAAATATTTTATGATTCTTTGTAGTGTTTTATTATGGTTAAACTTGTTAATCATACTGTTTAAATGTCTCATTAGAAGGAAGAACTATGACCAAACATTTTTAATTTTTGGTTCTTCATATAAGCACAAGATTAATTTGATTAAGAGACTGATATCTCCTTGGGCGACCTTGAGCTTCCTAATTTAGCTAGCAGGAGAATGTAGGTGGCTCAGAATTATTGTGCGTTGCTGCATTACTTGGGAAAGGCTTATGTTTAGTCCTATCTGCTGCATGCTCAGATGTTCTATGGTGACATAAACTGTTTATGCTCAACTGTCATAGAGTGGCACACATTTTGTGTTTCAAATGACTATTCTAGTAAATAAGTACCCTATACTTCCATGTTAAATCTCCCAATTCTAGTCCCCACTAGTAGTAGATTATACTACTTCAAGAGTGAGAGAGAGATATTAGGTGTATATTTTGATAAGTTGAATGATAGCTGGTTAAAGTACAAAGTTGCCTTTTTAATGGACTTTTAATTAAGAAGAATTAACTTGAATTTAGAAGAATTAACCAAAATTCAAATAATTAATGATTTTTCAATTATTTTTTTTGAGTTAAACATGTAGAATTTAAAAATTAGAGTAATTTTCAAAAGTGTGTACTGACATTCTTCTCAAGCACCTAAGACAGCTTGCAATATCAATTTCGATTCTAAATAATGGCACTTTAGATTTGCATATGGGAGAATACTTTGAAGTTTCCCTTGCTTTCATGAGTAGTTAATGAATTGGGACATGTGATGAAAATTTGATTCTCTTTGATAATCCCAAACAAAAAATGCGACGATGAATACAGGTTAAATACCATAAAGCGAAACTCATCCATATATATGTAATGGTTATTGTTTGGTGGTTACTTCAATTATGAAATTCAGACTGGACCTTAAAAAGCTATACTTTTTGAGATCCGATATAAAAAAAATTGTTCTCAGGAAGCGTTATGAAATGCCTCCATTGACTTGGTAGAGTCCACATCCTCAGAATTCTATTAAAAGTTATAAATGATCTTACTTCCAGATTGCAAGAATGTATAGATAATTAGGGTTAATACTTCCATTAAATAAAGGAATTTTTCTTTTAAAATAAGGTGTTTGAATTTAATTTAATTTTTCAATATAAAATAGCAATTTCATACTTTATCCCGTAATCTGTATATTCATGCAGTATAAATAATTTGTACATGTTTTTAATATGCACATTATGTTTTATTTTTCCTAGATATGGAAGCCCAGTTAATGCCCGTGATGAGTATATACAATTTGCAGAATGGTATCTTACTACTTTCACTGGAGGAATTTTGGAGGTTCTACTAAGAATATTAGATCAATATCGAAACAAAGTATATGTGTCACCACGAGTTTTGCAGCAGACTATAAGTTATATTGATCAGTGGTGAGTAACTTAATTTTACTTCAAGATATTGTATCTTGCTTCATGATTTTCATATATATTTTTGTTTTTAATAATATAGTGTCAGCCATGCACATTCATGGAAGTTGCTCAAGCCACATATGTTTGCAATTATTCAAGATGTGTTATTCCCCTTGATGTCATATTCAGAAGCTGACGAAGAACTGTGGAATACGGATCCCCATGAATATATTCGAATTAAATTTGGTCAGTATACTCTTTGTTGTAAATTTATAAACTAAATTTACTACTTTCGCTACTGGTGAAAATTTTGCTATTTTTTTATAACAATAAGTGACAAACAAGTTAACAATCCCTTTGTTTGCTGTATGCCTACAAACAACAGTAAGACTACAGGTGGTATGCCTCATATAGTAAACACTAGCTCTCTCTATCTTTTAATCTGGATCACTATAGTAAAACTGGTGAGAGGCAACAAAACATAAGGGTGTGATAGGCGTAGCAGGTGGTAGAGGTCCTTTTAATATGTAGTAGTATAATATATATTACTTCTTCTTTATTGTGCTATAAAAGTCACTGCTAGCGATGTGCCACTTCCATCGTATGGAATAATAGTAATATTATGAACTATAAAATATTAAGTATTGTTCCTTGTCATAACATTTTTTAAAGTTTGTTATATATTTTACTTACCTCCACTTTTTTTTAATTATTATTCATCATCATCATTACAGCCCATCACAAGTCCACTGCTTAATATAAGGTTCCCCTGGGGAATGTTCTGTATCTCTTATCAGATTGTTACATGATCTAGTTTTAGGTAAGTACCGGTATGAGTCTGCCACTTGAGAATCTTTCTTCCTCATTGGTTGTTCGGTTCTTCAAGCTATTAGACATACTAATTAAATATTTATTAAATGAGTTAATTATATTAAGAAACATAATTAACAATTTAAAAGTGAGTTTAGAATTAAAAATTAAAATGGTAAATTTAAAATTTAGGCAGATTAATTTTAAACATTTTGCAATGGGCATAGTTAAATAATTTTATCTATGGTAGGAAGGCGCTTGTATGTAACCAAGTATTTGTAGCTTAGTCTTACTTTTTTTTTACTTTTGTTTAGATATATTTGAAGACTTTGTGTCCCCTGTAACTGCAGCCCAAACTCTATTAATATCTTGTTGTAAAAAACGAAAGGACATGTTGGAACGTACAATGCATCTATGTATGCAAGTGTTAACAAGTCAAAGTGGTGAATACGGTCCAAGGCAACGTGATGGTGCTTTACATATGGTTGGAACACTAAATGATATCTTGATCAAGAAGAAATTCTATAAAGAAGAGATAGATTCACTTTTGAGTCAGTATGTTTTCCCTGAATTCCACAGTCCTTTGGGATATATGCGAGCAAGGGCTTGTTGGGTTCTTCATTGCTTTGCAAGTGTTCGCTTTAAAAGTGAACCACTATTAATAGAAGCTGTTCGTTTAACTGTTAATGCCCTGCTTACTGATACTCAATTACCTGTGAAAGTTGAGGCAGCAATTGCAATACAGATGCTATTATCACTTCAAGAAAAAGTTCATAAGTATTTAGAACCCCAAGTAAAAGCTGTTACCACTGAATTGCTTGAAGTCATACGTGAAACTGAGAATGATAACATAGCAAACGTTCTCCAAAAGATTGTTCCATTATATACAGAACAGTTGATGCCAATGGCATTTGAGATTACTGACCATTTAGCTACAACTTTTAGTAAAGTTATTGAAACAGATTCTGGGACAGATGAAAAGGCTATCACAGCTATGGGTCTTTTGAATACAATGGAAACTGTTCTAAATGTCATGGAAAATAATCCAGAGATAATGGCTCAATTAGAAAAGACAGTTCTTCGAGTTGTTGGGCATATACTTCATCATAACATAATTGGTAAGTGCTTCAATAGACAATTTATACATTTTTCAGTAATTACATATAAATTATAATTTTTTAATTGAATATTTTCAGAATATTATGAAGAAGCGATGACACTATTGTGCAATTTAACTGCAAAGACTATATCTGAGGATATGTGGAAGGTATTAGAACTTTTGTATCAGGTGTTTGAAAAGGAAGGCTTTGATTATTTTGGTGATATGATGCCAGTCCTTCATAATTACATCACTGTAGATACAAATGCATTCCTTTCAAACGAAAACCACATACTGGCAATGTTCAACATGGCTAAAGCGGTAAGTTTTTATTATATTCCATTTAGAAATATCACAAAGGCAAGTGCTAGATTAGACCTTTTAGATTCTCAGATGTATAATGTATTTAACGATTGTACTATATTGCGATAAAATACGACATAATGTGAACAATCACGATTGTATTATTATTCATTAATCTTCATCACCAGTACACATGGCATACTACACTTTTCTTAAGTTTAGAGCTGAGCAATTGCCATGTACTAAAGTAAATGTATTATCAGACTGTGACATTGTTCACTGGTATCCATCACTTCACGAAAGTTGCTGTGCGCAAAATAAATTTTCATATACTTCTAATTCTGTAGTTATATACTAATCTACATATTATTATTCTTTGTCGCGAATAGCAAACATGAAACAGAACAATTACCATTTATAAAAAATTATAATACAATAATTTTTTTATTTTATATCTTTTATTGTTATGGCATGTGCGAATTTAATGAGTTTTTTTACGCCAGTGTACCTACAGAAAGCTTTTCTCACTTATATGTTCATATAGTTGTTGTCATCTGTAGCTTAAATGGCTTGTTATTAGATTATATACCCACTTAGGTTACATTTAAAGATAATAATACCTATACTGATACTGAAAATTGTTGTATTGCAATGCTTCCTCTGAGAGCTGTCTGATGAATGTGTCATTTATACTTAATCATAAGAAAAGTGTGGTTTGGTTTATAAGGGTGGCCATACATGGATCACACACGACATCCACAAACGTCACCACCTGAAGCTAGAAGCGGATACAACTGTAGTTGAAGCGAGCGACAGCTGTTTGTGGTCAGGGATAGATACTTGCGGTGGCGGCCGCTACTTTTTTTTTATTGAATTTCGGATATAAATAAATCTATATTCATATCTATATTTATTTCAATCAACAACGTTCGTGCGTTCGATTTAAATGGGTTGACTGAAGCGAAGGGAGACGGATGCGGTATCGCATGAGTAGCGTAAACGTCGACAGCGTTTTGTGTCGGCGTATAGTAGCCGGTGCCGGCCACAAGAAGCGAGTGTTGCAACTACCTGCGTTACCCGTGTGCGGCGAGTCCGTATAAAATGTGCAAAAATTACAGGAAGTAGCGGCGTTTTGTGGTTGTGGTTGATGGCCCGTGTGCGGCCAGGCTTAAAACTTAGGCTTTTGTAATGATACACTAAAAACTTATAACATTCTATTAATCCAAAATGTAGGTTTATTTTATACTGCATATCTTATGCACTTTTTATATTATTATACTGTTAAATTAATTAATTTTATGAATATATACTATTCCCGCTTGAATATCTTTCAGGTTTTAAATTCTGATGCGGAAGATGAGTCTGAGATATATGCAGCGAAGCTGCTGGAAGTGATGGTACTCCAATGTTCTGGAAAAATTGACAACTGCCTCCCTTCTTTTGTAGAACTTGTTCTTAATAGATTAACAAGAAAAGTCAACACATCTGAACTTCGGACAATGTTGCTGCAGGTAGTAAATTTATTTTATTATAACTAAGCATTAATAATAGCTTTAAGGATCATCAGCCAATGGGGAATAAAGGTTTTCGAGATACCAGCTGACCTGTAAGCTGAGTTTAGTTCAGCTTCCCACTAGATTATTAATATTATTAATAAGTTTAACCACGAGCAACTAGAAAAGCTGATGGTCCTGTATCTTAATGTTCTGAGCTTTTATCCAGTCTATTATTTAAGCTTTTTAAGATAAGATATTTTATTTACTAAAACATGTGTGAGATATACATTGCATGAGCAGAGATATATTCTTGGTGTTAGTGTTATTAGTATCAACATGTCTTACCAATATTCAGTGTGTAAAATTTAAAGTGTTAGGTTGTTAGTGTTCATTTAACATTAGCAAAGTCAGTGAAATTATTACTTACAACTGTCATAATTAAAAATATATGTATATGTATTAAGGCAATTATATAATGTCAAAATTTGTCATTGAGAAAGTCAGTTACAGTGTAGTAGCATTTTTCTATTAAAAAATTTTCGAATTTATTTTTAAAAAGATTGCAGTTCAGTGGTTTATACATCTATATCATTATAGATTTCAGGAGCCATGCATACTACACTCTTTCTTGCATGTTGCAAGCACAATAATTGTGCCTAAATTATTTACTTCCATTACGATGGTTGTGCTTTACTTTGTCAGATATCTATGGAAATAGGTTAGAATTCGCCCTGACAAAGAGAGCCATCTCCATTATGTATTAGGTGGAAGTGTAAGAATTGTGTTTGATAAAATATGGCATGCAACTATCAGTAGTGTGACGACTCCGGCGCTGCGGGAAGTGCAGCCCTTTCGCCCTTGCGTAGCAAATCTCAGCCCCTATGTATCGCACGGGTGCCTGCGATTTGCTACGGCGGCCGGGGACTGCTCTTTCTTCGCGCTTACGGCTTTACAAAAATAATAGGTGTCATAGAGCAGGCAAGACTAAGTGGAGTCGGGGCGTGCTAATAAGGTTTGCAAAACTGCAAAACTTTTTGAAATGTTATAATTTTCTTTTCTGAAAAACCTCTTGACTGCTCTCCAGTGCGACTTAATTCATATGTACGAGTCCCATCTTCAGCCAGAAATGGATTGTCTGGGTCCGAGAATGTTAAAGAAAACCAAATTGACATATTTGCGTTACGTTATGGAGACTGGCTAATCCTCATGGCAACTTTAAGCGAAAAAGTCTGCCAATATGTAATTGACATGAGAGCATTTAGGCGACGAACAGTAACTGGCCAACCGGTGCTTGTTTCCGGCGATAATTGAGAATGAAGAATGGACTTACTTTAACAGTGCACTTATTGCCAGTATCAACGATGGCTGCATCGTAAATTTGGATTTCTGGAAGAATTAGCAGTGTGTTGTAGATGTCAGTTGTCTAAATTTGTTAATCAAGAAGTATTTCTAGAATGCTTCAGAGCTTACGGTTCCATCATGATATGCCATGGTCAGTATTTGTAAGGCTCAATATGGTTAGAGAACAAACACAAATAGATTTTAAAGTGAGAATGTATGTATGGTTGCATAATCCTCTCCTGAAAAAAAAAAAGAAATAGACCAAAGTGGCAAACTCGATCATAAAGACTTTAGAAGGTGGTTAAAAGGGTTGCTGATGGAACATACCACATTAAGAAAGGGCAGAAAGTAACCGAATCTAATATCGACTGAGACAATATCACAGCATGAATGAAGGTTGAGACAATCATATTTGCATTATATTTTCGCAAGAATGTTTCTGAAGCTTTGCATTCAATAGAAATTGTAATGATCTATGGGAAATCTGTCTTAACATTTATTCAACAAGAATTAATTACCCTGTACAAGGAAGGCTCAAGCTTATGTTGATAGTCATAAAGCCTTTTTTCCTTGGATACTTTGTAAATCGCATTGTTCTAGCATTTTCGCCTTGAAATAAGGGGTGCAAAGTCAAAGTCAAATATTGACCTAGAATCTTCTACTATTCTCTTATTGGGTATGAAAGCCTTGCCGGTTATCGAAAAATTAATTGTTTCGGTAACACGATAGCAAACTTGACTCGAAGCGACTGCGAGCGATCCAGTTTGACATTTGTGAGTTTTGAGAATTGTGAGGACCTCTCCAAAGAAGTTCAGCAATTTTGGCCAATATAATTCTGACATTTATTTGATTATACCATATATTACCCAAAACTTTTTTATTGCCTTTGTTATTTAATAATTTAATTTATTTGAACGTTCAAGCATTATGATCTGTGGTCAACGAATAATAAGAAGTACTAAGTTATTGACCTTCTCTTTTCATACTTTTTCAATCTAATTTTTGTAAATTGTTAAAACATTTCATCAATGGTAAACTTGTAGGAAAAGAAAACATAATAATTCTAAATAATTTTACACACTTAAAATGTATCTAATTGCTAAACATTTATAATCAACACTGTTTATAATGTTTTTGTCTGTTTGGAATTTAATTAAGTATATATAATTGTGCCTTGCGCATTTTTTAAATATAGACATCCCTATAATGATCTAAGTGTTTTAAAAGTCACTGAACCTGAATTCAAATTCCAGGATGGGGCCATTATTACTATTGGTGCAAAAACACAATTACTGACTTTATGTATGAATGTATTATGACTGTTCCTGTGTCTAATAAAAAGTCATAGTACATGTAAGTGTGTGCAATACACAAGATTACATTCAGATATAAATACAGTGTGCGACTATCATATTTTGAAATAATAAATGATAATCTTTGGGGGAGGCCTATGTTCAGCAGTGGACTTATAAAAGGCTGTAATGATGATGATGATGAAATGAAAATAACTAGAACTTGCACAAAGGGTCAAGAATAATCATATAATGTCTTATTCAACAGGTCTTGATAGCCATCCTGTATTGCAACCCACACTTATTGTTTACAATTCTAAACAAACTGCAAGAATCTGTACCAAATGCTTCTATAACTCAGCATTTTATCAAGCAGTGGATACACGACACTGACTGCTTTATGGGGTGAGTGATAAAATTAACATGGTTTATAAAGTTTTTACAACTGTAAATACTTTCATGATTACACAAATTTAAATCTCACATATTGCCAATGTGAAATAAAATAACAAATCTCTAGAAAAGTTGTCATATTTCTAATATTTCATGCAAGGAAAAAAAGACATCTAGGGAATTATATAAAGGATACTGAAGTCAAATTAGTGGTTTTCAGATTTTTTTTATCAATGTGTATTCATTCATTATACACGATAAAGCTACTGGTCTACAAAATTTGTTCTTTTAACTTCAAGAAAAAGATTACGTTTTTCGTTTATTCAGAAGTTAATTGTGATAAAAGTTACTAATGATTATTTATAAGGGTATAACGAAATATATTTACTTTTTGGCTTTTACCCGCGACTATGTATGTGTAAACCATATACAAAAAAAAAAATGTGCAAACTATGTGCAATTATGGAAAATTTTTAAAATAAAAATTAAATGTTTATCTTTACTTAACGTCGTATCAACTTATACTGTAGCACTCGTAGTTTTGTTAAAAACTAGTGTTAAAGTGCGCGACGCGAAATATTTTCATGGAAAATTACAAACCAAAAAGTTTTGTTGGATTTTTTTTAAATATCTCATAGTTTATCAAGATGATCGCGTAACATAAAACATCATGCTCCAATTATAAACTATATTTATTATATATTGGACAGTATTTATTATATATGCATCAGTCATATGGAGTCCCATCTATATCCATACATTTAATTATATATGTGGTAGAGCCATGCTGGAGCTGTATTATGGTCGTAGCATGAATGGGTTGGCTCGACCTGGGAAGGACCACGCTCTCACAGAATACCAGCGTAAAATAGCAGTTTAACGCTGCTGTATTTCGTATGGTGAGTGCAGAGAACCAGAGACCCTTTTTATTGGAAACGAGGCATTCCATCTTATTCCTCACGGGTGACAACGCATCTGCATTTTGATTCTTAATCGAAGATAGATGTAAGATGTCTATGGGCCACAGCAACCACTTACCATCAGGTGGACTGTGTGCTCGTTTGTCACCCTTATCCTGTAAAAAAAAATATATAAATAACATTGAAGTGTCTCTCTCTAATATCGGAATAACTGTTTTATATTGAGCTGAGTGGGTTATTTGCATGTCATTAAAACATGAGTAACCATTTTTAAAGTTTTTGTCTATCTTTCTGTCAGTCTGGGCTAATCTTCAGAATGGCTAAACCGATTGCAATGAAAGTGATCTATGCTGTATTTTATCTGAAAGACTTTGAAATCCTTGGTCCTTGTGGAAGTTTTGTATGTAAACTTCATGTTATAAGAGAAAATCCTACTGTAGGGGTAACGTTTTTTAATAGAAGAGCAAACTAGTCATGGCCTCTTTATGACTGACTATAAAATACTGATATTTATTTCGGTTATATTTATAAATCTCATTTATTCAACAGGCTTCATGACAGAAAATTATGCGTCTTAGGTATCTGTACATTACTTGAAATGGGTCCGCAGAGGCCAAACTTAGATGAAGTTTTACCCAAGATATTACCGTCTTGTTTGGTGCTATTTGATGGCTTAAAACGTGCATATGAAGCCAAAGCCGAGGCAGATGAAGATACATCTTCAGAAGAAGATGAAGGAGAAGAAGACGAAGGTTTGGTTCTATTTAATAGAAAATAAATTGAAAATATGTTATATTGTCTAAGTGCAGTGCAGTAACAGTGTTTGCACTGTATTGTTAACCTGTTTGCGACTTTAATATCTTTAAGGAAATGCAGATGTCCTTTTGATATTTAATAGAATCATATACTGACTGCATTTTATATATCAGCCCTTAAAATCCAGTGATATAATGGAATTAGAATTTCTATTCAGATTAAAACCGATAGTTATGAATACTAGTAATCATACTTACTCGTAAATTTAATGCCAATCTGCCTGCCAAGCATGGCAGTTAAGGCAGATCTTCCCAATGGGAGAGTTCCATGTCCAAATAGTACTTTTGCACGCAAATGAAGAAGAAGAATCGGAGCTATGCTATAGAAAATTATATATATATAATTTATTATAGTGCACCTCCCGCCCTCCATCAATGGCGTGCACTATCCCCGTCAGCACTACTTCCAGCACCACTACTCCCGTCACCACTACACTAGGAAAGACCGTTGATAATACCATAGAATAGATAATAGTACAAGAAATAATACTACACGTGTTTCGTCTCTACACAAGGCATCCTCGGTAGACTCCTCATCTTCGGGAAGCTATCCTTTTATTTTATTACGCGATTCTCAGCTAACTGATTTTTTTTAAATTTTTGTTTTTAAATTATACAAAGTAATCATCCTGTAACTTGATATATATTACGCTATGGTAAATTTTGAGGAGTTATGGAAAATTATTTAAATATTTTTAAAGTTTAATTTTTATCTTAAGGTAGAATTGTTACTCGGGCAGCCGCGACAAGGTATTTGCGATCATGGTCGCTGCGCACTGCGCCCTTAAGGGATTTGCATATAGTTTCCGATATCTGTTGATGTATGACTGCGTTCCGCAACCAACCGGCTACCACTAGCAATTTTTCCGAACTGATTCGACTTAAGAACTACAAAGCCGGCACCTGCAATTCACCTAGTGTTGCAGTTGTTCATGTGCGGCGGTAGTCACTTATACCATCAGGTGAGCCACATGCTCGTTTGCCCCTTCTTATATAAAAAAGTATTGGGTCACGCGAACCAATGCTATTACGATACTACCTGCAAAATAGTGTTGTTAAGCGATCAAGATGATGAGTATTTTTTATTTACAATACGTGCCTAAATAATATAGACAATCTTTCGCGATAATATTGATGATTCAATTTCAGGAAAACTGAAAAAAAAAGTGTAAACATGTTTTAGTTTTATATCTTCCTTACTATTATTAAATGAAAATTTTTGGTAATAAAATATTGAAGCCCACAAAAAGAACGAATGTTTTATTGTCGCGCGACAGCACAGAGGGAAAGTGTCGCGGCTGTCGTGCCGCAACTGCCGGAATCGGTTTAACGGAGTGTTACCATTATATTATATTATAAATATTAATAGGAGTATTTCCCTTTCGACAGAAGTACTCTCCAGTGATGAAGATGATATAGAGGAAATGAATAATGAATATTTAGAAAATCTAGCTAGGATGGCTGTTAAAAACAGTGCCGAGCAAGGTGTAAACATGACAGCTAAAATAGAAGAATATGATAGTGATGACGTAAGTAAACACTCCTTTTATATCTATATGGTCTTGTTCATAAAACATAGTAAAGAAACTTATAAGACTTGCAAACAAGTCAGACAAATAAAGCAGCTTTACTTTTTAGTGTAGATACTTACAATAGGTAAGTACGTAAAAGTAAAAATTAGCACACGCATATACGAGGGCGGGTCAAAAAGTTCCCGAAATGGAGGGGTTAAAGAGGGGAGGGGTATTTATTTTAACTGTCACTACTTGGTGACTCAATACAACTTATAAATATCAAATTTCAGTCAGATTGGTTCATGAACATTTGAGATATCGCAGGATAAACAAGTTCCAATTGGGGAGAGAACACTAACTATGGAGAAAAATTCGAGATTCAGCAGGGATTTTATTGATGCATTATAAAGATAATGGTGTCAATATCACAGGACAGTATTAGAAAAATTAAAAATGCAATTAAATAAAAAAGAAGTGGAAACTGGTCTCGAGGTGTGCTCCTTTTGCACAAGTGCAGCTTCGAAACCTTAAACCCACCCTCTTATCTATTTCTATAACATTTCTACTTACAAAATACCTCCCTGTTTTTATTGTAATCTATACATCGTTTTATGTGGTAGAGCCATGCTGCAACTATATTAATTGTATAGTTGTAGAACGAATGGGCCGGCTCGACCGGGGAAAGACCACGGTCCCACAGAATACCAGCATAAAATAGCAGCTTAATGCTGCTGTGTTTGGTATGGAAGTGTAGAGAACTGAAGACCCTTTTTACTGGAAAAGGGGCATTCCATTTTAGTCCTCATTGTATGGTCCAACCATACATTTCTGCTGGCGTTAACATTTTACGCAATGTATAGCGATTGCATTGCGTAGTTTGACAATTATAAAAACTGAGTTAGTTCACGTTTTCACCGTAATCGCGACGGACGCGAACTCATTAACATAACATTTAACATTAACATTTAGCATTATTCAACATATTTTAATCTTATATTTTTTACTTGTTTATTAAACGGTTTTACCATAAAATTTAAATTATTATTGAACATTCGTCCAATATCCGTACACTCATGGCTGACAATGCATCTGCGTTTTGATTCGCAAACGAGGGTAGATGTAGATGTTTATGGGCCACAGCAAACGTGTGCTCGCTGTCACACTTATCCTATAAAATAAAACACGATCATATAAATAAAATTGAAGTTCTATCTGTAAAATCAAAATAGCTGGCTTCCTATTTATTATTATTCTGGCTAATAGACATGTATAACCCTACTTAATTTTTTGTCTGTCTGTTTGTCTGGGCTTATTTTCAGAATTGCTTAACCGATTGTGTTGAAACTTCACAAACAAATAATCTAGCTATGTCGCCACGTTAGTAGATCCAAAGCAGCAGGGGACAGTTTTATTACCGAAGCCGGGTAATGGGTCGGCTCGACCGGGGAAGGACTACGCTCTCACAGAATACCAGCGTAAAATAGCAGCTTAATGCAGCTGTGTTTCGTATGGTGAGTGTAGAGAACCGGAGACCCATTTTACTGGAAAAGAGGCATTCCATCTTAGTCCTCATGGCTGACTACGCATCTGCATTTTAATTTGCAAACGAAGATAGATGTAGATGTCTATGGGCCACAGCAACCACTTGCCATCAGGTGGACTGTGTGCTCGTTTGTCACCCTTATTCTATAAAAAAAAAATGTCCCCGCCGCGGCCGCAGGCTGATTACGATAAAGAAATAAAACTGTACCAAAACTAAAAAAGAAAAGAAATTATAATGTATAGCTATATTTTGTACAAATTTATCTTTATTTTGATAATTGTCTCAAATACGTTAGGTTAAATTTATTGCATAATAACTATTCTTAGAATTATTACACAGATATTATTAAACCTAAAGCATTTCAGAACACTCAAAGTTACATAAAAGTACCTGCGGCAGCATTTATCTGCATCATAATATTATATATAGTAGAATAAAGATAATTTGTAATACTATTTAATCAATTCAAACAATACTAAAGTATAGTGTAGTGTTTCGAGCAGGTAAATGCTGCGAAAACTGTTCTCAATAGTAATATTCTATATTATTTTTTACATATATTTTTTGCAGGATGATGAAGATTTTGAGCCAGATGAAACTGCCATTGAGTGTTACACAACTCCTCTTGATGAAAAAGACTGTCCTGTCGATGAGTATGTGAAATTCAAAAACACTCTTTCAGGTACATATTTCCATTTTATATTTATATATGAAGGATGCTCTATTCTGATGTGTATGATCTTAAGGCCATCTCACCTAATTTTATTGTCTAAAAATTTAATTTAGTATTAAAGTCACTATGAAAGCTAAAACTTGAGACATCTGGGTTTTTGTATTATATTGCTCAAACCGTTCGTGTCTCCCAACGCGGCCCGATTTCGTATATTGCATGCTAATCTTCCTCGCATATATTGCCATCAGATAATACAGGGTGGCTATTAGATATTGCAAGCAATCTAATCTAGGTAATTCAAAAAGGAATTCATTTAAAGTCGCATCATTCGCTTTATTTGTTCTAAATAGAGACACGTTCCAGAGGCGCGCATCGTCAAATACACCACACATTTTGAACTTTGTTAAAATATATGTACATGGCAATAAATTTTTATTAAGAGTTATCAATGCCAGCCTTTCCTACCTGGCAACTTGACAACTGATCAATGGTTGAAAATTTATCGAAAATCGCTAGAACAAAATTTTTCAAACTAATAATGTGAAACAAGTTACCAGTGTTAAAAATTTATGTATGAGCGATATTATTGAGCATGCTATATTAATCCTTACAAATGAAAGTTACTTCATCATCAAGACAATTTTATGAAGATAAGCTATAGAATGTTATTTTAATCCATAGTTTAAGAGATAATTTAAGATTAAATTAATTCAACACTGCTCGACGCGCGCACTACGCATAACCCTAGCCGTAAAATGAGAACCGAGAGAAACCAACAGTGAACGTGAAAATAAGTGAGGTGTCATGTCGCTCGGATTAGATGCATGATCTACGCGGGTGGAACTCGGGGCACAGCTAGTATCCATTATATAATTTTCTTCCCAGTGACTCCCCCGTCATATAAATCTTAAGTTAACATATAGTTTACACTCTTTTGTACAAACTATTTGATTTCATATCCATTTACGACATTAAGCTATATTATTTGTTGTCACACAAAATAGATGTATATTTTATTATACTTGCAGTCATTTTTTAAAACTATGTTTAAATTTATCCGAAAATATTGTAACTCCTTATCAAAGATTAAACCAATCTACGCAAAACTTTGTAGCAAAGTTTAGTATGATACACTTTATGACTTTCGTGAAATATTTGACATGGGCAAATATTTCCCGAATGCCATGCTTTCATGTTCATTTTGCGTTTCAACTTTTAGTTCGTTTTGCGTCAAGCGCTATGCCATAGGGCGCATGCTTATCGTCTATTCAATTTGTCTATACCTCAAAAGTGACTTGTAAGCAAACCACAAAGATTCGTAATTATCTTCTATTCCGAACCCACTTCTTTTTATCGTAACTTTTTGATGTTCCTTTGAGAAGTATGACCTCAAGCTCTATTTTGTTTTTAACCGTTTTTACATCATAATTATATTTTTGGCTCAGAGAAATCAAAGCGTCGTTTCTTTTTATTTTATTTGTGTAATATTTGTGCTTGTGGTGTCACAATATTTGATGTGTTCGATAATCATCGAGAAATTCTAATGTTTTAACTTTGTCTTCCGCCATTTTGTTTACTAAAATGCACGAAATGTTGCATGCGAACCCACCGGTGGCGGATCAGCGTTCGCTAGAGGCATGCGCTGTTATCGAACTAGTTTTAGCGCATGCGCTATGGTTGCTCAGGTATACGTTAGAGGAAGACGCAAGATGAACAGGAATGCGCACTGGTGTAGACATAGCCATAGGAAAAAAGACATTATGACCATGATCATTTGCTGTTATGTACTGCAATTTTAAGTGGAAATGCTTGCTTTTTAAAAAATACAGTTAAATACAATATAATACTGTGATTACCTATTTTTTAATGTAGTATACTTAGTATTAAAATATTTTAAAACCTCTTATTTGTTTGCTGGATGTCTGATAACGGTGGTATAACTTAGTAATTTTTGTAATTTGAAAAGATTCATAGTTTTTTATATAGTTTATGCAGTAATGTTATTTTCAAAACAAAAAATAAATAGTGGGATAATATGTTTGGGATATGTTTGTTCGAGAGTTACGCAGCAGAATAATCTTGTCCGCGCCTATGATTAGGATATCATCATCATCATCATTAGAGCCTTTCATAAGTCCACTGCTGAACATAGGCCTCCCCCAAGGAATGCCACAAAGCACTGTCCTGAGCCACCTGCATCCATCCACTTCCTGCATGTCTTACCAGGTCGACACTCCATCTCGTGGGGGGGGGTAGCCCTATACTTCGCCTACCGGTACGAGGCTGCCGATCAAGAAACTTTCTTCCCCATCGGTTGTCGGTTCTTCGAGCTATATGGCTATACTATAGGATATACTACCTAACAAAATATTTTAACACTATAATAAAGTTTCTTTCAGTCAGCAGATAATATATTTGTTTTATAAATTGATTAAACTTGTTACAATTTCTTTCTAGCTCTTGCAACCAGTGAGCCGGCACTTTACCATGCTTTAACTAGCGTCTTGAATGAAGAACAGCAGAAGCAACTTAATGCTGTGTTTGTCCTCGCCGACCAACGCAAGGCACAACAAGATAGTAAGCGCATAGAACAAAGTGGAGGTGAGAACAAATAAAACATTTGAAATGTACATTTTCAACAACATTTTTATTATTTTTCTACAAAACAATCTCTTTATTTTTCACTAGCGCATTCTAGTTAATGGTCAATAAGATATGATTGTGACACAATTGTAAAGCAGATAATATAACCCTATTGCTTTAGTCAAAGTTTTTGACACTAACATTTTCTTGTCGTCGAGGATTAAAATTTTAATGAAATATGAACAAAGTCCCTGGCGGAAGGAAACTATGTTTTGTCATATAATACATATTACGAATTCAGGTGGAAAAACAAGATCAGTAGAAAATAATAAATAAAAACAATATTGCGGATTTAACGCGTTTCATTTTAATTCTTCATGTTCTGTACAGCAAATGCAAGCAACAATTGGCGAATCACCTAGGTGTTAATAATTTTTTTGGTGTTTTATTTTGTATAACTATTTGTTTATTATACTACTTCTAAATAACAGGCCCTTACATTTCTCTAAATGTGTTTGAGATTGTTCTAAAAAAATATCAGTGACAGTAATTTGTTAACACATGCCATGAAAAATGTACTTAAACAGTTAAAGTTGAATTTACTAAATAGTTATTTTGAAGTCAAAACATTATGTGACTGCTTATTCATATATTATATTAATAGCAGATTATTTTATATGTGACCACTAAGCCATAATTATACTCTACCAATAAAAATTATATACAGATATATTATTAAAAATAATATTATTATTCAGATATTATATTACATAAAGATAGATCATGTAGTAGATATATTGTATGTATATAGCAGATTATAATCGTTACCGTTACATCCTATCAAAGTGCACCGAAGGGATGTTTGCCATAGCTGTCTCGTTGGGCAGGCGGGTTGGCAACTACAGTTTTTTTTAGATGTTATTAAGAAGGTCCTGCTGCCCATCTACTAGTTTGTTTCCCTCTGTCACTTCTTACGACACCCACGGGTCGATATGTGGTAGTAGATATTCTTACTCTGACATTCTAATAGTGAAAAGTGTGTAATATAATACAATTCAATATTAATAATTTTGTTTTGTTTTCAGGTTATTCATTTACTGTGCCAGCGCAAGTTCCGACCAAATTCAAATTTGGCTCATAATTTAATATTACTAAAATTCATATTTATATTTTAACATCGTTGGCTATTATTGTACATTGTAACTTTTTTTTGGTTTTACCATAGAAAGCTTAAATTGAAATAACTATGAGTGTCATGCGAATTGTCTCAATATAGTTACAAACACTCGGAGTTCCTCTCTATGGCTTTGGCTTTTAAATGATATAACATAATAAAGTACGGCTTTACTTTATATTTACTACTGTTTATAGCATTTACTAATTCAAATGTTATGTATTATTTTTTTGTGTCTGACCATAAATATCCAGGATCTTGAAGAAACATTGTTGTTTTAATCTGTTTACTGCACTAGTAAAATATTTTTAAAGTTTACTAATGGTTTAACACAAAAAAATGTTAAAGGTGATTAAATCAATTGTATATTTTATTCGCATCATGCTCGTTGTTTTATATAAACTTGTAAAAAAAGAAGTGTATTTTGTTTTATTTCCACAAAATATTACACAAAATCTTTGCATTCATTATCGCATTTCAAAATCGAACTTCTTAGTATTTATCAAAGTATAGTCAAATGAGGATGACAAGTATAATCAAATGAGGATGACCAGTAGTGGGCTTAAGTTATTTTAAACAAAATTAATTGAAAAACTTCTAATAATATGTGCTAATTTCTTAAGCTGCGAAATCTTTTCTATACAGTATTGAAATTGAATTGAAAATAAATTATTACCGACTTATTTCTTTAAAGTTTTGTATACTTTGTAGACAAAACTTAATGCGAGTTGCTGCTTTTGTCACATATTTGTGTTTTATTTGCAATTTAAATGTAATACATATGTTTAATTCCATGAAATACATTATTTCTTTGTTACACAAAGTATGAATGTCCACTGGTTTTAATATGCTGATGTTCATATAAATGTTATTTAATAATAAAAAATTTTTTTAAAAAAACTTCTTACCGCCTAACAGTCGATTCTTTAATTTTTATTTTTTAGTATTTATTCTGCTATTCGGGACACCGTCACTCAATTGTTTTGCCTTCCCGGAATCCCTCCACTAACACTTAAACTTTATGGTATGGTATTAAAGTTCAAATTGACTTTTAAGTATTATTACGAATCTTCTGTATGGGAATATAGAAAAGTGTTGTTTTTAGACTTTATCAGGCAATTTTTTAATTTTTTCTCTCCGTAAGAACCATCTTCGTACTTCAAGGAATATTATAAAAAAAGAATTAGCGAAATCGGTTCAGCTGCTCTCGAGATTTGCGCTTAGCAACATATTCAGCGATTAATTTTTATATTATAGATAGCTGTGCCCGCGGCGTAGCTCGCGTATATAGGTTTTACATAAAGAATTTGTCGTTTAGGTAAGAGAATATTAAAAGATTTATATCATTACTGTATCAATAAGTAGTAACAAAATAAATCGTTATCATCAAAGTTCTAAGTAGTTTATGATAGAGCTTCTGTGTAAACGACGTTAGAAGTAGGCTTAGCCGGGGTGTACACAAAAAGGTTACGGGGGCTACTAACGTGGGAGAAAGCAACATAGAGTTAGCCATGTGCAAAACAGTCATTACTGAGGTGCACTCCTACAACGCGTAAATTTTGACCTTGCGCTTTATTTACAGTCATCGCATAACATACGCTGACTGTAACTGGGAACTGAACGCGCTTAAAACTGAAAGGAAAGTTACTTAACCGGTTCAGTGCGTTCAGTTCACACACAAAAGTAATCGATGACACGCCAGGCGTGCCATCGATTACTTTTGTGTGTGGCGTATGACACGCGAGTCGTGTCTTTTTAAAAATCATAACTCGCTCAAATTGCTTTTTTGGAAAATTTATCCAGAACAAAATATTCATTATTTTGCGAGGAGTTCATGCATGCAGCTTCGTTTCTGGATATTTTGAAAATTTGAAATTTTTAGGGGTTGACAACCTTTTTTTAACGTGTACAAGGTACTATTTTTACTTTGTGGGTTTTAAATCATGTTATGGAAAAATTGTCTAATAAGTACCAAATAATAGCACTCGTTGCAATCGCTCACAAACTCAAGTTTCACAAACTAAATTTCTGGAAAACAAGTCTCCTGTTAAAAAAAACAATGCGTTTGTCTTATTGTTTAATTTTGCTTAAAATGGTTGAACTGCCGTCTTATTACTATCATATGGCCGAATAGACCTACGAAGTACCATGTGCTCTTGTGATATGGTATAAGGTTTATTTTTGCTTGAAACAGTTCGAAACCGTTCATGCATATAAAGTTCGCTAATAAATAGTCTTTTGTCAATCCGCCGCCTTATCGCGCCGGCGTTTTTCCCTTTTGAAAACACTTGTTTTGCTATTCTTACTAATTAGACGTTTTCAGATCGACTTTACTTTTACATTTGTATAACATTAAATAATATTTAACATTTGTAAATATCAATGAATGATATACCTTTTTTTTTTCAAATTAAGGTTCTTCATTGTTTGATATTTAGAAATGTTATTATTAGGTGAAAATTTAATTTAATAAATACCAAGGTTTCCAGGGTGATTTAGCTGTACCTACTTATATAAATGATTCTTTTATAACAACAAAAATAGTACAAAAGGTTGTAATCTCTTCATAAAATGTTTGATATCAAATAAACTTAATTAGGTCTAAACAAGTAAAAAAAGCATAAAAAAGAACATTACTTTTACACATGGCGGATGGCACAATAGGCGTTGTCTGTGATTGTGATTGACACGCCCGGCGTGTCATGAAATATTAGTTCACCGCCACAGCTAAAAGTTGTCGAAAATTGGTGCCGCAACGAATCGGTTAATAGAGGGTTTTTGGGCAGTGCTGCCAGATCAAAAAAACTCATTCAGCGCTAGGACAACACAAAAAGCGCTAGATTTCATAAAAACAGCGCTTTAAAAAAGCCCTAGATTTCGTGCTAAATTAACTACAAACAAAGTTTGTGTTTTTTATTATAATTTATAATTCAAGAAAATATAATCATGATAAAGAAATTAAGTTTTTTTCTGGCAACATTTTTTTGATGTATCAATACTTCGCAGATATTGGGAGTTTTTGGCGGGAAATTGACCGGCGGCGGTTTGCTGCTCCTGTATTATTGTTTAAATAATGGTTTGAAGTGGACTTTGATATGTAAAAGGATTCTCAAGATAAGCTGTTTGTTTGCATAGGCACCTTTAGATACCATCGCCAACTATCAGCTGTCTGCTGGATCAAGTTGCCGCCAAAATCTCCCAAGAACTGCACAATGTGACGCATCAACATATTGTGAAGCAGTATACTATGAAGGAGTGGGGAAATTACAATAAACCGAATAAAAATACTTAAGACTTGGCCTAAAGATCTAGATACCAGGCCATAAACTCCAAAAAAAAAATCAATACTTCGCAGGACATCGACTTATAATTATGGCAATTGCTGTCAACAGTAGTTAGTACTGTACGAACAATAAAAATGTCATTAATTATTTTAAAGTGCAATGTATTTCGCAACTTAGTTTCAGATGTCAGCATCTGATTGCGGTTGCTACACAGTTTCTTTGTGTTATAACTTCTAAGTAACTTTTAACTTAGCTGTGCTCTAAACAACTGATTGAAACTGAATAAAGCTAAATAAATGCGTTGCCAAAACCATGAACGAAAACTTTAATAAAGGGGATTTCTCCGCTTATAGTCGTCGGTAAAAAAATCAAGTTGATCATCCTAAAGGGGAAGCCGGGAGATCCATAGCACAGGGTATCCTAGTTTGGACTCGTCTCCCACGTTCTTTGTTTTGTGGAAAAATATGTTTGAAAAAGATAAACTCCAATGTACTATTTGTGGGGAAAAATAATAAAGGTCATTATTATTAAGTAATGTGGGCTAACAGTGCTGCTATAAAAGAGTTAATAACCCGCTAGTCACTACAATTTTGACCAAAAAGCGCTGGATTAAGCGCTATTTATTGTGTACAGTAATAAGATGGTATATAAAATCGATTCTCCTTCATACTTCAACAAAAATGTCATTATGTCAATTCATTATTTACAAAAATGTCCATTTACACAAAACAGCAATGTCTATCTACACAGAATTTACTCGTAAAGTATCATAGCTCTAAACTTTATGATGAAACGGAAGAAAGTAAAGTCACAATAATCACTACGCAAAGAAATCCTAAACATAACTCACCAGATGGAAGTTAGCGTAGAACATTCTTTTTCTTAACTAAACTGTATGCCAATTATAATTGCTCCATAAATGCTCCAGCAGAATTAGAAATTGCTCCACCTCTATTGTTATTTGTTAATTTAAAATTAATTTAAAAAAAAATTAAGTATTGAAAATTTAATTTTGCTATAAAATATAAAATATCTACTTTATAAAATTAAACTGTATGCCAATTAATTGCTCCTTAAATGCTCCAGCAGAATCCGAAATTGCTCCACCTCTATTGTTATTAGTTAATTTATAATTAATTTCTAAAAAATTAAGTATCGAAAAATTAATTTAGCTTATTAATAATTCATTATAATTACGTAAAACTAAAAAAATACTTACCTAAGCTCTCATAATACAAATGTTGCTAGTTGTGGGGAAAAATTCACAATTTTCTTTTAAAAATATTTGTTTTCTATTTGTGTTTAAAACGTTTAATCGCAACGCTCTGTGTAAAACTCAAATGTTTATATATAGATACCTACTTCTATAAGTGTTAACATTATATTTACAATGGGTGCCTATTTAAAACTAATAGGAGTGATCAGCTAATCGCGATTCGTCGATGCCATTTTAACGCAATTATTTTATTTTAATTGCTTTTTTTATTGACTAAGGTTACGTTTTAGAGTATATAATATAAACTTTTTTATTTACAACATCATGAGATTATTAATAATAACGCCTTTACTAACCAGATGTCACTTTACACCCAAACATTAACCAGATGTTACGTTAGACCCAAACCTAGCCTATTAACCGACTCCCAAAAAAAAAGGTTATCAATATATATGTATAGTGCCACC